CTCTGATAATATGCTGTTTGCAAGAAACACTTGAGACACAAAGATTCTAGCAGAATTAAAATGAGGTGCTGAAATGCAGTCTATTAAGCTTCAGCTGAACTCAAAGCAGAGGTAACAGTCCTGATTTCAGATAAAACTATGATAAGTACAGGAAAGATAAAAGAGAGAAGCAGGGAAATGATGTTATTCATTAATCAATATCAATACTTTATAGATACATGTAATACCATAGTATCAACTATGAAATAGAAGAAATAGAAAATACTATAATAATGGATTTTAATGTGCTTCTTTCAGACCTAGACAAATCTAAACAAAATATAGATAAGAAAGAAGTTATAAACTTGAATAGAATTTTAGAAAAATTAGAGATGATAGATCCCTGGAGATTACTAAATAGGAATAGAAAAGAATTTACCTACTTATGAGCTGTTTATGACATCACTACAAAAATTGACTATGTTTTAAGTTATAAATACTTCACCAAAAAAAAGAATAAAAAAGTATAAATACTAAACATCATTTACTGTTGACAATGCAATAAAATCATATTAAATAAAGGTCCCTTAAGGAAAGAATTTAACCAGGTATGGTGGTATATGCCTATAATCCCTGCTGTGAGGAGGTTGAGGCTAGTGGATAGTTTGAACTCAGAGCTCTGAGCAGAAGTAGAGTTTAAAATGAGTTTAAAAGTGTACACACTAGCTCCAGCATAAGGATGGTAAATCCCTGGGAGTAGAGGGCCACCAGACTGCCTAAGAATGTATGGACTGGCTCAGGTTGGAAACAGAGCAGGTCAAAGCTTCTATGCTTTTCAGGATTGCAACTGGTCTCATTAGTGGTTGCTGTGCTTCCAGCCAGGGGGAGCTAGGAAGGCTTAGTCGAAAGAAAAGAAGGAAAGAAGGAAGGAACATAAGAAAAGCTTTACATTATAGACTAAATAACATAATTCTAAAGAACTGGTGGGTCAAAGAACAAATTATAGAAAAAATAGAATATTTTCATCAAAAAAATTATAACAATGAGACACTGTACCAAAATGTATGGAATGCAGCTAAAGTGATTCTGAAGGGAAATGTCATGTTTCTAAATGCTTTCATTAACAAAAAAGAAAAAGAACAAATCAATGAATTGAGGATACAATTAAAAAATCTTCAACAACAGCAAATTAAAAACCGCAAACAAAATAGCAAAGTAGGATTTTGAAAATTAAGCAGATTAATAAAATTCCTAACAAAACTCATGACTTAAAAGAAAGAGATTAATGTTCATATAAACATAATAGACTAACAAAAGAATTAATAGACTATGTAAATAATCTAATCTTGCTCTGCCATCTTGGCTGTGCCCGAATAATCTAATCTTAGAAAACTAAATCAAATAAGCTACAAATGAACTCCCAAAGGATAAAAAAAAATCTTTAGTACCAGATAGATTCAGAACTCTATGAGGCAGTCCAATGTGACACAAATTGTTTACAATAAGAAGACAAGAAGATGCCCTTCCAATCTCTTTCTATGATGCAAATATGGTCTTTATACTTAAACTGGGAAGAGACACAGTGTAGAAAGAAAACTATAGGTCAATATCCCTAATAAACCTTGATATGAAAAATTTTAAATAAAACATTAGCAAGTAGGCTACAATAACATATTGGACAGATTATACACTATGATCACATTGAGTTTATACTAGGAATGCAGGGTTGGTTCAACATAAGGAAGATTACATACATAATAACTTATGTTAACAACATATATAATAAAATCTGTGTGATAATATAAATAGTTGTGAAAAAGGCTGTGACAAAATCTAATACTCATTTCTATTAAAAACTCTAGAAATTATAGGAATGAATATACTTTTCCTTTACTTATTAAGTGTTACAGTTTTTAATCTAAATCCAAGAGCAAACATTACATGCGATAGAGAGAAGTTATAGATCTTTCAATAAAGCAAAGAAGTCCATATCACCACTACTATTTAACACAATGCTAGAAATGCTAGTTATAGCAATAAGACAAGAAAAAGAAATTTAGGGATTAAGCATAGACAAAGAGAAAACAAAATTATCAGCTTTTTTGTAGATGATACTATACTGTTCTTAGAGGATTAGAGAGTCAACAGAAAATTAATTGTCATTAAAAAGTTTTCCTTCCTATCAAGTCCAAATCTGCCTACTTGTAACTTCTACTCACTGGTCCTAGTTTTGTTTTTAGGGATCTCATGGTATAAATATGATCTCTCTTCCTTGTGTGTAGATAAAGATTTAGGAAAATCCATTCCAGAAAGACACTGACCAGATTTGAAAACCATAAAGATCCATTCCCCTCAATGCCAACTGACTACCAGAATAGCCTACATAAACTCCAAAGTCAGATGCTATTTTCTCTCTTCCTCCTCTGTCTAAAGCCACCCTGTCACAAAACTCTTGGTTTACCCACTTCTCCTCTCCTTCAGGTTGCTGTAGACATGATGTCATTTCTTTTTCAGATGATTAGGGTCTGATTTTAGTTCTGCTTTCTAATGCCATGTCCTGCTGCCTATTTAATTGATAACTGGGGCCCATCACTGTTAGTTGTTCTTCAAGATGTTGCTCTATGACCATGACTCATGAAATCTGCAGGGGGAAGGTCACGGAACCGCAGAACTAGGGCCAAACCTGGAGCTCTTGAAGAGAGCATTTCCTTTCCAGCTGCCCTTTGTCCTAGCACTCTTTAGGATTCTATTAAGTCTTGCTCATAACAGTATCCTTGATTATTTGAAATATGTATTGTCTGACCCTGGAGAAGTCATTCTTTCTCATTGGGGATTTGTTTCCAAGATCACATAGTCCAGGAAGGGGTTATGTCGACATACTACAAATCATATATAGAGTGGGTGCTTGGTTCCTATAATTTTTAACCTCTTTTTGCTTATTTTTGCTTTCCTCCCACATACTCTGCCATTTCAACAATACAACAAATTTTTTTTAAGAGATCTGTAATTTCATGGATAAGCAATAACACAAAAAGGTTTTTTGTTTTTTTTTTGGTTAGGCAATGGGGTTAAGCTAGTAAGTGTTATGTGTCTGAGGCCGAATTTGAACTCAGGTCCTCCTGAATCCAGGGCTGGTGCTGTATCCACTGTGCTACCTAGCTGCCCCCCAAAAGTTTTTTTTTAAATGAAATTGCCTTGGACTGTGCCTGAGTCAAGCTTAATTTTAATTTTTTCTTCTCCTCTCTCCATCTTTGTCACACTTAAAAGCAGGATTCATTTCTATCAATTCAGTAGCTAATAATTCAGTATTATTCTAAAGTACTCCTGGAATTCTGCTGGTGGTGGGGAAAACCACCTCATATTCGTTGGAATTTGAGTAATTCCCTTTACTGGTGTAGCCAATGGAGCTGCCAGGAGATCTAAATGAGCAGCATCAATTAAATTCAGTTCCACAAACATTTAATGAACAACTTATGGGTGTGAGCACCGTGCTAGGCCCTGGAGGGGGGGATGCAAATTTTAGATGAGACATCAGTCTCTGCCTTCATCAAGCTCACAGACCAGTAGAGAAAATGAGACACAAACGCAGACAATAGTAATACTGTAGATTACATGATAAGTGCGTTAGAGATATATAAGATATGGTGCTATGAGAAGTCTCAAAGAGAAGGTCGTTGCTAGCTTTGTGGAGAAGGTGGCATTCAAGTTGGGCTTGGGTAAGACAGGACTTCAGCAACTGAGGAAGGGGAGGGGAAGGCATTCTAAGCATGGGAAAAAACATGAACAAAGGCATGGAGGCTGATAGAGAAGAGCCCAATTTGTCTGGAGAGTAGAGGTGTGGAGGGGAGTTATTAGACAAAGCTAAAATGATGGTTAGGTGTCAGGTTGTGGTGGGCCTTGAAGGCCAGTTCTTCTAATCTCCCAAGTGTTAGGGTTACTCAGTAGACAACATTCTCTCTTATGCAAATAAATGTGTTAGCTCATCATAGCTCCCCATTTCTGATGGCTGCTCCAGCTTGCTAAACACCTTCTGTTCCAAGGTGCCCCCTTTCCATGATGGCTCGTCGCAAGCAGGCCTTGCCAAATGGGCAAAGATGTCTGCTTCGACAATTTTCTTCATCCCTTTATCTCTCCTATCTCCCCTTTCAGGGTTCCTCTCCTTGAGCCCACCCCTCCAGTCCCTTTGCTAGTACCAGAACAGGCCCCTTTAGGCTACTGGCTGATAACAGAGGTATTCGTGTTTGTGAAGCGAAATTCTAGAAACTTGAAAAGCCTCCAACAACAAATGGAATAACTCAAGCAGTGGCGTTTTAGGCACCATGACGGAAGGTGGGGGATACTTTGGGGTGGGGACCTTGCTTTAGCCATAGGTGACTGGCAGCGTGGTGTAATGGAAAGAATCCTAGGCCTGGGTGGTCCTGCCCCCTGAGTAATGCTGGGCAAGTCATTTCCTCCCTCTGGACATCAGTTTCCTCCTCTGCAAAATGAGACGATTGGGACAGATGACCTCTAAGGTGCCTTCCAAATCTATGACTCTGTGGCAGGACGGCATTTCCCAGCTGTCATCTGACCATTGGCTGCCCCTCCTCTTGGTGGTCTCATTCTTTAGCTCCATCCAGCCTTGCTTGCTAGCCTATCCTTGAATTGGTGGGCCTGCACCTGTCCAGCCCTTCCCATCACATGTCAATGGAGGCCAAGTAACTGCAGTGGGACCCCAGGTTTGGACAAAGAAACTTCCCTGTACTTGTTTATTTATTTATTTATTTACTTAGAAATTCAAGTGTGTCTTTACAAAATCAAACCCAATGAATAATACTGGGTGGCTCAAGGCCAGCCAGGGCTGGCTCTGTTGACTATCTCATACTTCCTCCCCCTCCTTAGCAAAAAACAGGCCCGCCCCAGCTTGCCTCCATCACTCCAGCCTCTCCATTGGGCATTCTCCTGGAAGAGAGAAACCCGCCCACTCCATGCCACAGACCCCACCTCTCTCCCTGGAATTTAAAGGAGCCGGGAGCTTTTCAGGGAACTCACAGCTGAGATTCAGCCACGAGCCTGCAACTTGGGAGAAAGCCCTTGGAGGGGTACAGAAGACAAGGAGAGGTAGGTCGTATATTGGCCCGTCCTTCCACTGGCTGTCAGCCGGGCTCCTCTTTTCCCTTTGTTAGGAGTCCCAAGGAAACTCCAACAATGAAGGGATTTCTGAAAGTTAGTATTAGCTTTGCACTTTGGGCAGAAGAAGGATTGAAGTGGGACTTCTTTCTTGCAGCTCTCACCATTTGCCCTGGGGCTTAATTGAAATGTTGGGGCCCCTGTAGGGGTAACAGAGAGTGCTGTTTATATTATGAAGAAAGGAAGGAAGGAACATAAAGGGAGAAAGGAAGAAAGAAGGAATAAAAGAAGCCAGTCCACAACCTTCCAGTTCTGGGGCATGGGTAGGGAAGTTTAATGGGTATAGCCCTTGGGGAAGAAACCTCTGGTATACAGAGTCAGGAAAAAGTGAAAAGCGGTATGCAAAAATGGTGTGAAAACATCTGATGACTAATGGACCTGAAGTCATCTTCCTCTGACATTAGTATGATGCCAGTTTACCTGTCCGATGCTGGCTGGGTGGTTCCTAATTAGTAGATGGAATTAGAAAGTAAAGGGGGAAGGGGAAGGTCCCTTTAGCATGGTTTGAGTTTCCTGCTGAAGTGTTCTGGGTGAGGGTGACAGGGCTGGGGGTGGAGGAGTGGGCAGGAGAAACGGTCTGCACACACAAAGACCTCTGTGCTCGGGTCCTCGGATTTCCTCCTTATGTTCCCTACTGTTTTGTCCCAAACCTCCTTACCTGGCTGATGATAAACAGAGTCCTTAAAGAATTTTTTTCTCCAATTGTGGAAGCAAAATAACAGGATGAATGGCCTTTAGTCATATAGCACTTACCCCTGGAAGCCCATAAGCCTCTGTAGATTTTCTCTCGGGTAATCTTTCATTTTCTCAACCTCCCAAGGAGGAAAGAAGGAGGCAAACATACTATGTGAGGGCTTCTGAGGATCGAGACACTGAGAAGATCTTGGATCAATGTGTCAACACTTAGTTTAAAAAAAAAATGCTTCCTGGTGGTGCATTAGCAAGGATACCTTGGCTATTGAATTGTAAATAGCACCATTCCTCCATTTTGTGTGGGCTAGCCTTCCTTTTCAAAGATGCCAGCCTGAGAGTCTCTGAAATTTAACCCAAGCAAATAATAGCTTTCTTCAATCCCCATGGCTCATTCCTAGTCCTATCTCCCCTAGGTCCATTCAGTTCATCTCCAAATGCCTGGAGCCAGTTTCTCCAGACACTGGAGATGATTCCTCATTTGTAAGTATGGCATTTGTGGAAGTGACCTGTGCTCCTCTGGGACACAGCGCAGTATCATCTGAGATAATAGAGAGAGATGCTGTTTCAAGGGCATGAGATATAGACACAGCCAGGCACAGCAGAACCTTAGGAAGGGTCTGACTCATTAGCTTGTAAATTCCTGTAGGCCAGAGGAGCCTTACTCAGTAAATGAATGTTGATTAATTGAGTAGGTTATAATAGTGTTATCAGCTCTCTCATTTGGTGGTTAAAGCATGATCAGCTAAAGTCAAGTCTACATGATGCCAAACATCTGGGGAAAAACTGAAGAAAGAGATTAATTCTATAATTAGATTCAATGTATTTATTAAGCATCGGTTTGAAGTGTACGGCAGACAGTTGGTGATGAGGTATTGGAGCTCAGGAGAGAGGAATGAGGGCTGGATATTTAAATTTGGAAGCCATCTGTACAGAGATGATCTTTGCATCCATGGACACTGATGTGATCACCAAGACAAAGAGAGTAGAGAGAGAAGGCACAGGACAAAGCCTGGGGGTACGCTCATTGATGGGGTAGGACACCAATAGGCGCATGCTGCCAAATGGCAGTCTTCTCTCCTCCTCAATCACCAAAAAATATACTTGGCCCGTTCCCCTACCTGAAAGTTTTCAGTTTCTAGCCTGCTCAGAGTGGCGAGGTGACTTGTCCAAGGTCATATAGGTTGTAAATATCTTAGGTAGGATTTGAACTCAGGTTGCCTGACTCCAAAGCCTATATTCTTTCCATGATTATGCCTCAAGATCGGTACTTGGTTTTGTGCTGGTCCACATTTTTATCAGTGACTTGAATGAAGCTTATCTAACTTATGAAATTTTCAAATGGTACAAGACTGGAAGGAACCAATACTTGGGTAACAAGATCAGGATTCAGAAAGATCTGGAGAAGCTAGAGCAATCAGTCAGTCAATCAGTCCATAAACATTTATTAAGTGCCTACTCTGAACCAGGCACTGTGCTAAGCATTGGGACATTGGGCCACATCTAATAAAATTATGTTTAATTCGGATAAGTGTTGGGTTAAAAAAATCAAGTTTACAAGGACAAAATATGGGTGTCATGACGAGGCAGCAATTTGTCTGAATAAAGTCTGGGGATTTTAATGGATTGTAAAGCTCAATATGAATCAATTTATATTGCCAAAAAAGAGTAAATAAACAGCAATGAGCAAGCATTTTTAGTGCAATGGGCATTTTTAAAAAACTTGTGCCATCTTGGGTTAAACTAAGAGATGCACGGGGCCCAGAACTAAGGATGTAATGAGTCCTGCCATACTCTACCTTCATCAGACCATACTCGAGGTGTTGCCTTTAGTTCTAGGCATTCCATCTTAGTAAGGATAGAGTGAAACTGACAAGAGTTTAGAGGTGGGCAACCTGGATGGCAAAGATGCTTGAGATTGTGCCATAAAAAGACTGGTGGAAGGAAGTGGAGATATTTTACCTGGAGGAGAGAAGGATGAAGGAGGTATATGATAGCCATCTTCCAGTATTTGAAGACTATCCTATGGAAGAGTAATTACATTTTTTGTGTTTGCTCCCAGAGGGCAGACCTAGGATCAATGGGCAAAAGTTTTAGAGAGGAAGGTTTAACTTGATATGTGCATGTATCCCTATCTATCTATCTCTATCTATCTATCTATCTATCTATCTATCTATCTATCTATCTATCTATCTATCTATCTATAAACAAACCTCTCTGACAATTTAGAGCTGCCCCAAAGTGGATGGGCTGTCTGTCATTGGAGATAGTGACTCCCCTTCCTTGAAGGTCTTCAAGTAAAGACCTGCTGACCACTTCTCAGGTATGTTGTAGAGGGCATCCTTGTACAGATGTCAGCTGGATGACCTTTGAGGTCAACTCTGAGATTCTGTGATTCTTTAGCCATGTACAAATGATGTTTCTAAGTTTGTCCAACTGGGAGGACATGGAATTAACTCAAGAGTTCCTGTGTGTTCCTTTGAAGGTACACAAGTTGTTTTCAATCAGAGCTACGTAACAGCAGTGAGTTTTCTACTATCGATCATACTCATGTTGTCAGGAGTGAATAGAGCAGAGCTTTTGAATTCAGATAAGTTCTTTATATGACCTCAAATATTTGGATATATGCCAAAAAATTTTTTCCTTTTTAATCTGTTTATTTGGCCTTGTGTAGACCAAGCCAAAAAATAAATATGCAGAATGGATTTTAACTGAAAACCCAACACTTCTAATGACAATAGAATAAAACTCTTACTACCTATTTGTTATTGAGTCATTTTCAATCGTATCTGACTCCTTCTGACCCCATTTGGGGTTTTCTTGGCAAAGATACTGGAGTGGTTTGCCATTTCCTTCTCCAGCTCATTTGACAGAGGAGGAAACTGAGGCAAACAGGGATAAGTGACTTTCCTAGGATCACACAGCTAGTAAGTGTCTGAGGCTGGATTTGAACTCAGAAGATGAGTCTTCCTGACTCCAGGCCTGGTGCTCAACACACTGCACCCCTAGGGGCCTCTAAAGGTGTTTAAGTTCCACTCTAATACTTTGTTAGTTCATGTTATTAGACCGTGTTAATAACATCATCATTATGATGATAGCCAGCATTTATATAGCACTTTAAAGTTTGTAAAGAACTTTATAAATAACATCTCTTTTGATCTTCATAACAACCCTGGGAGGTAGATGTTATTACAATCTCCATTTTACAGATGAGGAAACTGGAACAGACAGAAGTTAATGATTTGTTCAAGGTCACACAGCTAGTTATGTCTGAGGCCATATTTGAACTTGGGTCTTTCTTACTCCCAAATCCAGCTAGGACTATTTGATAAGCCCTACATGGAAAAAAAATTCTTTTCTCAGTCACAGAATCTGCTTCTCTCCCTTAGCAACATGAGCCTATGATTATTGTTGGTCTCATGGGAGACCAGGTGAAAGGATGAAGATGGTTTATCAAGAGCTATCATCATTATTGGAGAACAGTACACAATGATCTAGACTACTTATACTACTGAGTGGACTGTTCATTTACAAAAGACAATAAAATTTTATTGATTTCATTAATCTGAATGTGAAATAGACTTCTCTGGAGATAATCAAGTGACTAGGAACAAGAATGATTAGTTAGTTAGAGAGTAAGGTCTGAAAGGAAAGAGGAAAAATGTTCCCTTAGCCCTAGTCCTGACTTGGCCTAGTCTTGTCCAGGCTAGCATAATCTAGCCTGGCCTAGCATAGCCTAACTTAATCTAATTAACTAAGCATGGCCTACCTCAATATAGTGATGATAATAATAGTTGACACTTACTGTACCTAACAGTTTAAGGTTTTCAAAGCACTTTAATTCATTATTTCCTTTGAGCCACACAACAATAAGTGCTATTATTCTTCCCATTTTACAGATGAGGAAATTGTGCCTAAACAAGTCAAAGTGACTTGCCTGGCTAGTATGTTTCAGAGATGGGATTTGAACCTGAGTCACCTGTCCAGGCCTAGGCTGGTATGGCTTAACCTAGCATGAACCTAGCCCAACCTAGCCTCTCAGAGCTCAAAATGGCCTTAGAAATCACCTAGTCTAATCCTTGGAACTTACTGTCAAAGAAAAGGAGGTCTGGTCATATAACTGGCTGGTAGAAGAGCTGGGACTAGAACGTTATTATATGTTAATAGATAGGTACTTAATTGCATAAGGATATACTGCTAAAATGTACCCAGCTATAATAGTGCTATGGATTATCTGCATGACACTTTTCTAATTGGATGAATTCAGGAATTGTCCATAAGGCAGCTGAAAACAGAAAAGAGAGAGGACTTGGGCAAAGTATGCCGAAAGTATGCTCCTGATTTATAAATTTACATAGTCGGAGAAACTTCGGGCTTGTAGGTTGTGGATAGGATGAACCTGGCAATCCACTTCGAATTGTAGCTCCTTCAAGGGGTCCGCCATTTGCTTGAGCTGACACCAGAGATAGAACAGAACTCCTCTATAGTGGACGATGCCTCGACCTCATAGCAGCACACAGGTAGCAGGGATTCTAGTCTGAAGTCAGTCAACAATTTCCTAAGTGTAGGGAATCCTTGAGGATTCCAGAACCGCATTGCCTCTTGAAGGCTCTCCGGGTATCTCTTAGTTCTACCTGTTGACTTTGCTCCTTCCCCCCGCCCCCAATAATGTACCATCCCCCAAGGTGTTTGCTCTGAACTGCCGCCCTTACGTGTGGGCTCATTTTTACTTTGCTATTTCAGAGAAAAACACTGAGCTACCGGGCACCTCTTAGGAGATGGTGGTTTTCGGTACACTGGTCTTCATTACAAGGGAGTTAAGAAATAGAACCTTTCATAGCTTAAGCTGAAGAATGACTTCAGATGGGTATTTAAATCCTTTTGAGTGGTGGCAGGTTTGTTAGACATCAGAGTGGAGAGACAATATATCAAAGGGAGATCTAAATTCTTTTCCTTTGGAGAGCCTCAAAAATAGCTAGGGAGGGAAGGAAGGCAGATTACAAATCTGGCCACAAGGTATGGATCATTAAATAAAAAAAAAAAGACCACACAGGAAATGTTATTCTTCTCTTCTCTTCCCTGCTTGTTATGATAATAGGAAAAGGAAATGTATTATTTTTGCTTGGTTATAGCTAAGGTTATGCCCAAGCCAGGGACAGCCATCTAGGCCACAGAAAGGAAAGATGAAGGTGTTTTTTGGAAAGTTCCCGTTTCCTTATTTTCCAGCCTCACATTTTTATTCATGTAAAGTTTTGTTTCCAACCAAGCCTGGCTATATTACAGTCCCTAAAATGGGTCTTATCAGGGGTGAGATTCTAGAAAAGTCAGCTTCTCGTTCTGGTTTCTTCTTGTAATTGAAGGTGACCACTTAAACTTTCGATGTCCAGCCACTCTCTAAGGCTGTAAATTACAGAACAGTTGCAGACCTGCACTGGTAGTGGGGGAATTTTCTTCCAGGAAAACTTTCTACATGGATGAAATCATAGATCCAGACCGCCTTCCCCTTCCTCCCCCTCTCCCCATCCCCAAAAAAGAGATTGGACACAAGGTTATGGCACATGTAGGGCAAATACCTCTGTATCAGAATCATAGAATCAGTGAAAAACAAATAAAAAGCCTATAAAATCAGGCAAAGGTCCCTTCCCTGAGCAGGAAACAAAATTACTTATAAAAAACTCTATGAGTGTAGACCACTGGTAGGCAGTATGAGATAAAGGTTTATTGGATCAATAGAACCAGTCACAAATTGATACAGAGGATGTAGGGTATTTGAAGGTAGTAGGAAATATGCCAATCAACTTTTTGCCATTAACTGATAAACATTCTTTGCAACTTGGAACATATTAAAAACCAATTCTGCGGAAATTTGTTTTCCATTGCACAATTACAAAATTAGAGCCGGAAGGGAGTTTAGAGATCGCCTAATCTAACCCGCTCATTTTCAAAGGAGGCAGATGAGGGTATCTGGCTTGAGGAACAAGTAAGGACTTAGGGCCAACTCTTCTGACTCCAAATTCAGGGATTTCCTTCCACTGAAGCCCTCTTCCTCCTTGCACATTAGCCATACTTCAGTGTGACATAGTGGAAGGTGAGTTAAAAAAAAAAGGGGAGCTCATGTTACCATACTATGAAAAGTTTCCGTTCTCTATTTCCTGACCGTCCAGCATGGAAACTTGGAAGCAAAATGGAGCATTGTTGTATTATTGGGTATTTCATTTCCTGGATTTTGCCACTTGTTTGGGAGGGTGGAGCATCCTTTAAAATTTTTTAAAAAGCATTTTTATTTAAAGTTTTGAATGCCAAGTTTTGTCCCTCCCTCCCCTCACTGAGACAGTAAGCAATCAAATATAGGTTATACTCATTTTGTACAAGATGGCTCAAATAAAAGAAAAAAAAATGAAAGAAAGTGGAAAATAGCATTCAATCAATATCAAATCTTTCTCTGGAGATGGATAGTATGCTTCATCATTAGTCCTTACATCATTGTCTTACATCATTGTATTGCTGAGAATAGCTAAGTTGTTCACAGTTCTTCACTGAATGGTATTGCTGTTACTGGGTACAACATTCCCCTGGTTTTGTTCACTTCACTCAGCATCAGTTCATGTAAGTCTTTCCAGGTTTTTCTGAAATCATCCCGCTTGTCATTTCTTATAGCACAATAATATTCCATTAAATCATATACCACAATTGATGGGTATCCCTTTGATTTCCAATTCTTAGCTAGAGGGTGGAGCTTCCTTGAAGAACAATAATTATTATTCAACAAGAATCCTATTTGATGGTGTTTTCAGGATTTATTTAAATTCCAACTTCAAAGTTAACATTTCAATGAACAGATTAACTAGAGTTTTCAGAAGGAACTTGGATTGTTAAATTCCTCTTATTTTGGATTTTTGGTGTTATTATTGGGACCAGTCCATTTAACTAGCTTAGGCTAGTCTGTAATCATTTAAATAATACCTCATATTTTTATAGCATTTTGAGATTTGGAAAGTATTTTCCCCATGATATCCATTGTGTAGTAAGTAGTGAAAATTATTGTTATTCTGTTTTAGAGAAGAGAAAACTGAGATTCAAAGAGGTTACTTGAATTGTCCATAGTATGTGTTAAAGCTAGAATTCCAATCCAAATCTCTCCTGATTCCAAATCTAGGTGATGCTAGTTCAGCTATGCCTGACTCTTCGTGACTCCATTTGGGATTTTCTTGGCAAAGATACTAGAGTGGTTTGCCATTTCCTTCTCCAGCTCATTTTATAGATGAGGAAACTGAGGCAGAGTTAAATGACTTGCCCAGGGTCACACAGCCAGTAAGTGTCTGA